CTAAACTATCAAAATTCACATAACCTTTATTACTTTTTAAGTCAAAACATGTATATTTAGACTTAACTTTTGTATTAATAAAAATTAATAGTAGGTATATTATCAATGCCATATTATCGGCCTTCTAGGTATCTGCGATCTGCCTATATAAAATGTTTCCTAATTACCTACTGATATTTAATGTTCTAAAATATAGTAGGGTTGGCAGAATATTGATACTACCTATAGTCTATAACAAACTATACAAAACAATAACAAGTATATCAATATTATAAATGATAATATATTAATATCACTATAACAGTTGATGAAAAAGATATCTCCTTACAATTCAGACTAGGCGTTTTTGATTTCATTTAATTAGAGGTGCCACACAACATTTTCTTTGGTAAAAAATAATCTGTAGAATTTACAGCACTCACATCTCTAATAATAGTGTACTTTAGAAGTTTCAAGTACCCAAGAATAATATTATACAATCACAACAAAATAACTAAAATAGTTATTCTAGGATTTTTTTATGTAATTTCGTCCAAATTTGAACCTGAAGTGACTATAAAAATAAACTGTGCTTATTTATTTTTAGATTTTTTGGTAACAGAATAAGCTACTTACGTGGAATATTTTTATAAATGTTCAGTCCTTAGATCTAAAAGTTGAACGTTTTATAAATTTTTAACTACAAAATAATTATTCAATTTTAAATTTGTTAAATTTTGTCAAAATTTGATCTTTGAATTTAAAAAAAAAAAAATTGGGCTTAGGGATTTTTAATATATTTTTCAACTGATATTGTAACAATATATCAGGAGCCTTGTATTACATTTTTACACTTTTTGGCCCAACAGATAAAACTTGATTGATATTTATAGAAAAAAAAAACTAAAAAAATTGAAAACTGAAAATGTCCGTAAACAGCTTAAAAAGAGTCAAAATATTTTCAAAATTGTATGGTGTATAGGAAATTCTAATATAAACATTCAGTAAAATTTGCATGTATCTACAGTTATTTGTTTTTGAATAACAATAAAATAACAAAACCACTAAATGAGAAATCGAGTGAATTTCCAATATTTTAAAAAACTTCAAACGCTCATAAAAATTTAATTTGATTAGCTTGTAGATATTTTTTTTTTAATAAAGGTAGATAAACTTATGAGTTATCTTGTATTACATTTTAAAAACTTAGAGTTAAAAAGAAAAATTTTTATGAATTTATAATTTGAAATAGTTTGCAAATTTTGGTCATTTTTAAGTATTTTGTCAATATTTGAACTTTAAATGCTTAGAACAAAAAACTGTGACTAAGGAATTTTAATATTTTTCAAATGTCAGTGTAACAATATAGTAGGAGCCTTGTATTACATTTTCAATTATTTTTACTCAACAAATAAAGTTTTATTGACATTCATAAAAAAAAAACTAATAAAATTGGAAACTGAAAATGTCCCTAAGCAGTTTAAAATAAATCAAAATATTTTGAAAATGTTATCGTGAATAGGAAGTGTGAATATAAACGCCAATGAAAATGTCATGTATATGCGTTCATTTGTTTTAGATTCACACCAAAAACCAAAATCGATTTCTGAAAAACCGACTTTGTGTAAAAATGTCCGTTTTTCCTTAATGTTTTAGTTGATTTTTCCGGCGCTTTTGAAAACTATTGAGAATTTTAAAATTTGACCTAATGAACTAAATTCATTGTCCCATTGAACAAGATACAAGGTGTGAAGATCCTCTAACTGTGAAATTTAGTGATTTTACAATAAATCTATGACACATTGGTTTTGATTCCCACAAAAAAATAACGCTCTTGGAATGTAAACGAGCATCACATTTAAGTAAGTACTTGTTTTAGATTCCGAGTGAAACGATGAATGTATAGATTTTACAATGATGTTTTTTTTTTTTTTATCATTTATTCTTTTTTTTGTCTGTCACCACTGTTTGGGGCAGTAAAACTGCTTCGATTTTCTAAAATATTAAAAATACATACTACATATTTAGGTAGGTACATACAATTTTTTATGCCTCTGAAGTTCATAACTGTGATAGACTTATGACTCATAAGTTATTCAACATATAATAATAAAAAAAAGTTTAGAGGAAAATCACATAATCGTTTTATGAGCGTTTGAAGTTCAAATTTTTAAGACAATGGATATTAACAGTTATTTTAACGGTAAAATAACTTTTCTCCCCAATCGACTTTTGATATTTTGTTGTAATTCAAAAACGAATAGGTAATACCATAGCTAGCTGATACTTGATATTTTTACCAAATATTTATTTTACAATTTTCTATACTTACATGATATTATGATAATATTTTCAAAATATTTTGAATCTCTTTTTACCTAAATTATAGGATGAGAACTTTTTTGAATTATTGTCGTAACAAATGTTTCACTTTGTCAAAAAGCTTGAAAATTAAATAAACCTATAAGGCTCTTTATAAGTTGTTATTATAGAAATTTAAAACGATCAAGATACATTTTTCCCTATTCGTTAAATTTCCAAATTATTTTGTTGTTAAAAATATGCAAAAAGTTACAAATTTAATTTTTATATTCAAAACTTGAAAATATAATACAAAGTTCCTCATAGGTTAGGAAACTCAGTTAAGGTACACTGCATTCCTTCACACAGAAACCAACAATTCTAAAAATATACACTTATTCGCAATTTTTCTTTATATACATGTGAGTAGATGCAAATTTGGACGAAATTACGTATTTAAACGAATAATAATGATGTTAATTATTTTATTTTTGATTCAAAAATATTATTTGTGGCCGTGAGTATACTTGACATTTTTTAAGTATATTTAACATTGGCATTTTCAAATATTTAGATTAGTTTTATGTTCTTATCTATTTTTAGTTTATACCGTATGTCTACATTTCTCCGAGCGATTAACAACAACAACAAAATAACGATGAATAGAAACTTTATTATGAACATAATTTGAACAGAATAATTAGTGTAAAGCTCAGATAGCAAAAACATTATCTAAATAAGAAACAGATAATTTCATAAAAAAATGTCTATATACAGTAAAGATAAAGATACATTTTAAACGTGATTATCTAGATAATAAAATAGATATATTCAAATGTGTACATATTAATAACAAAAAATAGACATTAATAGTATTTATAGGTGAACATAATTATTTGTGTATAAATAAAATATCATCTTCCAAGATAACACTTATACCTAAAATGTATGATGTTTAGTCTGTACAACTTAAATATAAAAATATTGTAACATACTTATATATATTATACTTATATATAAATACAAATAAGTTTTCCTACTAGATATTCGAGAACACATTATTAAGAATTTAACATAAATAATAATTAACATTAATCAAGCTTTAATACAACTAGACATTTTAATCTTAGTTTATGTGTTTAGATTTCCATTGGCACGTTGTTTCGGAAATAGGAAAATCTTTTTTAATTAATAATTTTATTCTAATATATATATTCAATAATCGGTCTTCCTAATATAGTGCACATCCGTACCACGATTTCGGAGAGACTCCTGAATCTCCCCATTTGGTTGCCATAAATATATTTTACATTTTATTGTCTCAGCTTATTTGCTTTATTGGCCTAAATATATGTTGCCAAATACAACACTTATATGCTCTCATATTTTAAGCTTATCCTAAAAAAAATATCTTAAAAATCATACATTAATAAAAACTTAATTGGTACTATACACTATACAGTATACATGTCAAATTAAATACCCTTATTTATAATTTCTATACGTTGCATTTATTAATCAATTTATTCAAACAAGAAAATAACAAAGTATGCATAGGAAAATGTATAATATGTAGAGATTATTCTCGGGTAGAAATTTAATATTTGTGTTTCGACAAACCGCAATAAATGCCCTTGTTCTTCTCCCTTTGTGGTATGTTTGTTATTTTGTGGTATCTTTAGTTAGATTATAATTTTGGATTCGTATTAGCTTCCCATTCTAATGGTAAAATTCTTCTTCGTGTTTTCTATTTTTATAATTTATATGACGTATATTTTTTATTTCTCGACAAAAAAATGTATTCTTCTCTTGTAAATTTGGTTTACATTTGTTGGGCATGCTGTAAATTGTAAATATATATATTTTTGTAATATATTTTTGATAAAATTTGTTTTATAATATTATATCAGGTTTATTATATACCTAGGTACAGAAATATTTTTAATTAATTAATATGGTTTTTATTAAATCAAATTGTATTATTATACTGTATTAAGATGGCTTAGTTGTATGCTTGTATATTGTCCGTGTCGATGTAGATGGATCTTAATAAGTTTTTTCATTGGTATTAAATTTGGAGAGATCGACGACGCTTGAATTATATATTATAATAAACAAGTGCTGTATCTGCTTAAACCAGATTTATTTTTTGCAAGAGAAGTAAGTATATGCATTTTTTTTTTCATAGGTTTATTTTCAAATCTATCATTTTTTTTTTCATTATACAAAATGCAGCTTAAACCAGATTCATTTTTCGTTCGAGAAATAAATATGCATGTTTTTTTTTTGCATAGATTTATTTTCAAAACCATCATTTTTTTTTTAAGGTGATGGCTGAAAGTTGTTGATTGTGAAAAAAATTAAATATCCTCCTTGTGTCTTACATTTTTGTGTGCTAAATTATTTTAGTGTTATTCTTGACTCTTGCCTGGATTGTTGCGTGTTTCTTCCAAGTAGGTACCTATCTTTTAAATCACTCCACAATGGATCAGTCGTAGAATAATTCCTTTACCTACTACGTTCTAATCATGAGTTTTTTTTTTGTTATTAGATAGGTACCTCCTAATGTTTCTTTCCTTATAATATTACTTGTTCTTTTAAAGTTATATTTTTGTTAACTCCGTATTCGTATGGTTTTGGTGTTGATGTGAGTGTACGTTTATGATAACATTAAGTACCCACGTATTATTATTGTTATAATTTTTTTTTATGATTATAAATTATTGTCTTTGTGGAATAGGCGGGGAAATTGTCAACATATTTATTTTGATGAATATAGGATATATTTTGTAGCAAATGAATCCCGTAAGTAGTGTGAGTATTGTTAGCCATGTTAGGTATATTATGTCAGCTAAAAAATCGTCAATTAATGGTTGTGGTATTTTTTTTAAAATTAGGTCATTAAAATATTTTTCTGGGTTTTTAATTTGTTTTGAAACTTGAAAGTTTGGAATGTCTGTTTTCCAGTTTTTGTTTAAAATTTCCGTTATATTTCCAAAATACATGTCCCCTTTTGGTTCTTCATTGTTGATTTTTAGTGATTTTATGTTCGTCCAAGATATAGGTAAAACTCGTTTCAATTTAAGTTTATTTATATTATTTGACTCGCATGGATACATTTTTGGAATAATTGTTTTCGAGTTTTGAATTAGCTCGTAATTACATGGTAGATGTATTTTTATGAGACCTGGGTTTTTGTAATTTATTTTTAATTCTTCTGTGGTAACGTCTTTGTTTTTCCTATTAATTTTTTTTATTATTAATGTTGGCTGAGGGTTAGTTAAAGCATATGTATTAATGCCTATTTGTTTAATTATTATTGTATCGTCTCTGTGTTGTTTTACGCATTGAAAGTAACAGTATTCATTTATTATTTCTAATGGTTTATTTTTGAAAATCGATTCTACACATTTTGGGGATAGTGTTATGTCGGATGAAAATTTTGGTATGTAGCATAGATCTGTGACTGGTGGGTCACAATGTTGCAATCCTACTCCTGATATTATTCTATGTTCATTATTATTTGAATTAATTGCTATATACGTTTTTTCTGAAAATATTATACAAATTGCATCTTCGAATTTAAAATGGGTTGGTATATATTGGTATAGTTTCCATTTTGCCATATGTTCTTGTATTGGAATTTTGATTTTGATTAGAATTTGATTTTTTGAAAATTGGCATTCTGTAATAGGTAAACTATAATAAGCAGATAAGTCTTCTGTTGGGATTACTAGTTCATAACCGTCTTTTTGTAGTATTTCGGATAAGTTTATTAAGTCTTTTTCGAGTATGTTAGGTCTTATTAATCTGGTAGGAATTTTTTGTAGTTTACAATGTAAATGGTTGCTTGAGTCTTTTTCGTAATTGGTAAATTTTAACATAGTTGTTAGTAGGCTAAATATTATTTCTTGCATACCTTGTATAGTGTTTTCGTGGTTTGTCTTTTCTAGCATGTCGTTACCTATTTCTTCTTTAATAAATTCCCTGAAGCTTGTTTTTAAAATGTCCAAGTTATTGTTGTTGGTTTTTGTGTATTTATTTAACTCAGAAGTTATATTTACTAAGTCTTGGTGATCCGAAACGAAAGCGTCTTTAAATTTTTTTATTTGTTGGTTTATCATATCTTCGTTGGTGTATAGGTTTTTTAGTTGTTTTTCAGTAGCCACGTTACAACAAAAGTGATATAGATTCCCTATAAATTGGATTCCTCTTTTTGATCTTTTATTATTAAACATTCTTATCAGCATGTCTGACATGTCGAGAGCATTTTCTTCTGTATTTTTGTTTATTGTCTTTAATAAGGTAATAATTTGTTTGGTTATCTTACAATAATTGGTATTTTTCCCAGAGCAGTATTTTTCTATATTCCATCCGTTATCCATTATTTCTTCGCCGTTGTTTCCAATTTCTTGGGTGTATATTAAGGGTATACTTTTGTCATACATTATTGCTTCTTGTACTTCTTCGAAAAAAGCCCCCGAGGAGACAGTAATGTCCATGTCTTCTTCGGTTGTCACGCTTGTCATTAGTGCGGTCGTTACAAAAAGTTTTAAAATCATCATCGTTTATAAACGTGCGGATATACTGTAACCACGCAGTATATATAAGTATACTTACTCGATATATACACACACAAAAAATTGTTGTATCACAACTAAACACAATTAACGCGTGTTTGCATATCTATATAAAATTAAAATTAATAGCTGTTCGTTGGTAAGAGCACGAATCGATAAATACACACACACACTTTAAAAGTCGTAATGTAACGACTAACGAGCTACTAGTTGAGCGTCACTGTCGTATACGCGTCTCTCAACAACAATAAACTATTAACGAAGAAAAGAAACTTTATTATAAAAATTCAATCAATAATTGGTCTTCCTAACGTAGTTCACACCTGCACCACGATATCGGAGAGACTCCCCGAATCTCCCCGTTTGGTTGCCATAAATATATTTTACATTTTGTTGTCTCAGCTTATTTGCTTCGTTGACCTCAATATATGTTGCCATATACAACACGTATTACTATAAATAGTACAATTAATTAGTATACTAATAAATAGCAATATATATTTATAATGATCAATTGCTTAACCGTCTCCACTAAGAATCGTTTTTCGTATGCAATGATATATATCATTGAATTTAAATTTAACACATTTGTTACAGTGACCTACTCAATGACGAGGTATTTCATAAAATTTCCAATTTAAGACTTGAAAATGTAATATAATGTTCCTTATTAGTAGATCTTATAGCAAGGGTGATAAACCTTTCCGGGTCACGTGCCAACATTTTGTAACCAAAGTTGTTACAAAAATGTATGTGTCAGTAATATTATGTTCATAGGTACCTAATACCTATAAACATTTTTTTCTTGTGAGTGAGGAGGTCTTAAAAAAAAGTTCACTGAAATTATTTTAATATCAGTTGTGTATTTTGTTAGCCTTAAATGTTAAATGTTGTATTGAAACACAAGCAGCATTAACTTAATTCAATAATATATTATTCCTATGTTTTGATTTTAAATTTGATACATTTTGTCAAAATTCGATCTTTAAATGCATATAAAAAAAAAATATATGAATATGTATTTTAAATATTTTTCAACTGATATTCTAACAATATACCAGGAGCCTTGTATTACATTTTTACACTTTTTGGCCCAACAGATAAAACTTTTGTGATATTTGTAGAAAAAAAAAACTAAAAAAATATTCGTAAACAGCTCAAAAAGAGTTAAAATATTTTCAAAATTGCATGGTGTATAGGAAATGCCAATATAAACATTCAGTGAAATATTCATGTACCTAGTTATGTGGTATATATAGTAGTGGTTTTCAAACTTTTACTATACACGGCACACCGAACACTTCAAAAAGTTTTTTTTTTATTTTAGATGAATAAAATTGTTTTGAATTAATTATAATTGTAAATACATTTAATTATAAATGTGTGATTAAAGGGCTAACAAATATTTATTAATTATAATTACATTGTATAAGTAATTAATTAGTTATTAAATTTATTTACGTCAAAATTTTCGTTAACTTGCAGCGTAAACATTAGAGAATTGCGTAACTTATTTCATACTCGCTGCTCAATATCTTCGTTTGCGCCTACTAATTGTATTATCAGATAAAGGAATTTTCAATATTTCTTGTTTAGCTTCAATTCCAAAAAATATTTTTACAATTTCACGGCAAGCGGGTGAAATTAACTGTTCGTCTATTGTATGTGGTTTCATTGTTTTAGCCACAAGCTCTGCTACCTACTACATAGCTCGCTTCTTGAGATTTATCAGAAATCTTTACAATTTTTGTCATACGTTTATTTTGTGAATTTAATATACGTTGAAAATATGTTATATTTTTGTCGATCAAATGTGAACGTTTAGTAAATAAATGACGTTTAAGTTAACTGTTTTAGTTTACTTGAGTTTATTGCTTCATTTGACAATTTTTCACCACATACAACGCACCACGGACGAGGATTATCTGTATCACCAGTACAAGAAAATCCCATTTTTAAGTAATCTTCGTGATACTGACGAATATTACCGTATTTTGTTTTTTTTTTGGTGGTTGACTCACTGACGCATTATTGTCAACAGAACGAGCAACAAATTTATCCATGATTATAATTTTATAAATATATGTAAATATATATGATGTATCACAATATTTTTTTTAAATACTCGTATGTATACAATTAGGAGACAAACTACTCTACGAATACGACGAAACGTCCAGGTCGGTTGCGACGGATATACTGCAGCCTGCCGCCTGGGGTTATATAATATTACTTATACATTTTATAGTTCAATAGTTATCTGAGATTACTTATCTTAATCACTTTATTCCTACAAACTGTCGATTTATTAATATATATATATATATATCAAATCCATAGCATTTATTTAAGCATTTATTTTCTTATATCGCAATTCAATGCAATCGGTAATTTATGGAAAAACCACGATCTTACCACCATCTTAACCATCTTATAAGGAATATTGTGTTACATTTTAAAACCTTGGATTTAAAAAATTTTTACGAATTCTTAACTAAAAATAATTTGCTAATTTTCGTGATTTTTTCATATTTTGTAAATTTATGAACTTTAAATGCTTATAAAAAAAAACTGTGACTAAGGATTTTTAATATTTTTCATCTGCCTTTGAAACAATATACTAGGAGCCTTCTATTAAATTTTCAAGCTTTTTTAACCAACAAATACAATTTAATTGATATTTTTCGAAAAAAAACTAAAAAAAAAATGAAAATTCAAAATGTTCCTAAACAGATCAAAACAAATTATAATATTTTTAAAATTTCATCGTGTATAGAAAATGCAAATATAAACAACCAGTGAAAATTTCATGAATATACGTTCATTTGTTTTAGAGTTACACCAAAAACCAAAATCGATTTTTTGGAAAACCAATTTTGCGTAAAAATTCCCGTTTTTCCTAAATTTTTTGTTTTTTTTATTATTTACCTTCGAATATAAAATTATTATTTTTAACACATATTTGTTAGCTTTTGTTCATATTTATTTTCTTATTTTTGTAAAAACTGTACTTTAACTAAAAAATCTTTAATCTTAATTTCAATAAAAAAATAATACATTATATTTAAAACAATCCATCTTGATGAGGACTTTTTTTTCCCCTATAATCGTTCCTGCCTTTGTTATATGACTTGCCTGGATACTGACTTTTATCTCTGTTACGTGATCTATCTTCAAAATTTACTGTTTTGTCTTATTTTTTAAAATTATTTATTTCGGTAGTATAAACGGTACATAGTTGGTTAATTTAATTTTTATAATAACTATGTCTATACCTTCTAATTTGGTATTTAAACTTTTAATTTCTTGGTTACTGTCTTTTGTTTTAGTATTTAATTGCATTACTTGTTTGCTTAAAATTACCATCATGTATTCGCTAAGTCCTGAGCTTCTTGAATTTATTTTGAACATATTATGTTCATATTTTCTTAAATACTTTTTAAAATTACCTACTGTTATCATGAAGCAAAATTACGTGTAATATATATAGGTTCCCTTATTCTTTTTTAGTATGTAGACACAAATTTCTTCCTTCTTCATATCTTTGATTACCCAAATATTCTATTTCTGTAACAAAACTAGAAATTGACTCTAAGTAATTTTGTAATTTGTATTTTTAAGTTATTGAATATTCTATAGGTTGAAATTCGTTTTTAAACTCGCTTTTCAAATTTTCCCATGACCAGTCTCTGCTTTTGTTTCCTAAGTTTTGTAAAAATTCGTTAGCCGTATATCTTTTAGAAATATTGATAAAATTTTTATTTTTTCATTGCCGTCCCAATCATTTATTGCGTTGCTTTTTCATATTGTATAATAAATGTTTTTGTGTCCGGAAAAACTGTCTAGTTTTGTTTACATTTTTTCCATTTAAGTTTTAGAATTTTTATTTGCTATACATAATTTCTCATTCTCAGTTGTGTTCTATATTACAAAATTTTAATTACTAAAAAAGGTAGATAAGTTTGACTTGGACTTGTTTTATTTGGACTATTGATATCTTCACATATTATATGTTCTATTTGGGTTGTTTTGTTAGATTATAGGTCCTAGGTTTTTAAATTAATATAATTGTTATCAGTGGTTTGCACTTATTTATTTTGATATACATTTTTACTACCTAGTATAGTAGTACTAGTATCTAGTATTCTAGTGTTTAAAGTTTTATCAGCTTGAATTATTAATTTATTTGCTTTAGTTTCTAAATCGTTAGTTATTTTTATAAGATCGTTAGTAATTATTTTTGATCTATTCCTAGTGCTAGTATACTTGTTTCTAGACTTGAATTTCTTAAATTACTTTCTTTTAGTAATTCTTCAATATTGATTTTATCTTTTATTGAATCTTTTTAAATTTTGAGCTTGAATGTAATTCTGTCATGATGTCATTTAATTCTGAGATCCATTTTTAAAATCTTGATAATCTAGTATTCCAGCCCTTAGATTATTTAAGGTTCTTACACTTTTTAATTGTTTCAATTAATCAATCTTCATCATTCGCATCATAATAATAGCTTGAGTTGAATTAATTTAAGAGGTGGTTTAAAGAAATGCATTTTTATCAAAGGTGGTTAATTTTTTAATAATATATTTTTGCTTAACACTATAACTACTTAATTTTTGAATAGTTAAAAAAAATATAAATTTAAGTATTTTTTGGAGTGAGGTATCTGAAATAAACTAATATAAGTACCTACTGCAATTTTTTGAAAGACGGAAGAAAAATTTGGAATTAAATTTTCTTATTTAAAAAAAAAAGCCCCTAATCTACAATCCTAATATTAATATAATAATATGTTATAGATATTATGTATAATGTATATTACAAATCGTTGCTCACCTTGAAGTATACGTGTATAGACGTACAGTTAGCTGAACTATACTCTCGTATCAAGCGTAGTCTTTTCCTTAAAGGACTATACAACTAAAAAAAAAACTATTTTGTTTTATTAAGTGAAAATATAGTGCTTTAATAATTTTGGTGGTCTA